AGGACCTACCACTTGCTTGTTCTTCCCCTTACTTCAGACATAGCTGAAGAACTACAGAGCTCATTGGCCGCAGCAAGCAGGGTCAATGGCTAGGGATGGTGGGAGTTGCAGTTCATACCTTATGGGGCATGATGCAGGGAAAACCATCTCATGGGCCAAATTAAGGTCTCCGCTGGGGTTAATCAGGACTGCAGACTGGCGGTCCCTCACTGCTGCTCCACACAACTCCTTTGGGGATTGTTCCCCCCCACCCCACCCCCTCCTGAGCAGGGGGCCCTGTGGCCTTCCAAATGTCATTGGACTTCAGCTGCCATCAGCCTCAACCACTTGGGCAATTGTCAAGGGTGATGGGTCCTGTAGCCCAATAACAGCAGGAGGGCCACAGATTCCTCATTCCTCCTCTAGAGCAGGGGTCCCCAAACTAAGGCCCGTGGGCCGGATAAGGCCCAAGGGACTCGTTTATCCGGCCTGCGGTGACCCCCGCCGCCACCCACTCTTACCAGCGCTGCACTGCACGGCTTCCCACTTCCTGGTCAGAGGAGCACCGGAAATAGCTAGTGTGCATGCGCAAGCATTATTTGTGCATACACAAGCGTTATTTGCACATGTGCAAGCGTTATTTCCAGTGCACATCTGGGTCGGAGAAGGCCCGTGAACATGCGCACAAGCAATTTCCGGTGCTCCTCCGACCTGGAAGTGCACCAGAAATAGCGTGTGCACACGCTTATGGGCACGCACTTCCTCATCCTCCAGCCTTCCGTGCAATCGGCACTGGAGACACTGGCCTGAGGCATAGTAGGTTTGTTGACCCCTGCTCTCAAGGCAGATCTTTAAAAACAGCAGAACCAAAAACAAACAAAACCACCTTTCTAGAATTCAAGAAAGCGCATACTAGACTGTGGCCAACCCCTAGCCACATATCATCTCTGTTAAGTCGACATGGCTCTTTGGTCCCACAGCCTTCTTGTGCCTTGATGAGATGTGCACCCAAAAGTGTTCCCCATGTTGGAAAATGTGATGTCAAAAAGCACTCGTAGTTAGATAACTGGCCTGCTCAAAAGAGATGGATTTTGTTCTGATGCTTGTTTATGGAATGATTCATGTTCAGAAGTGGTGCCACTGCTATTTTTAGAGCAGACAGTTCTCCAGTTCCCCAAAGGCCACTTTGTGCTGCTTGCACTAAACCAGAAAAAGCTACTCGGCGGAGGATGGCAAAGTGAGCCTCTCTCTGTGCGGAGCGAAGAAGAGGCCCTTAGCCACACCTCCTACGTCAGGAGTGGGTAAGCTCAGGTCCCAGGGGCTGACTCTGGCCCTCCAGGACTCTCTATAAGGCCCCTGGGGCTCTCCCTAGAATACATCCCTGCCCCATACCCTCCTCAAGTGCTTTGGCCTGCCTGGAAGGTGCCCTTGAAGCGTGGTCATGCCTCTCGCTTTTCTGGGTGGAGGAGTGTGGGCATGTATGTACAGGTCTCTGGCTTTTCTGTGGCTACAGTGCAGCCTACTAAGGGCCAAAGAGAAGGGCTGCATCTGTTGCTCTGGCCATGTGCACCATTTGCATTTGCATCCCCAAAGGTTGCCTGTGAGGGAATATGGCCCTTGGGCAGGGAAGAGGGTCGCCTTCCCTGCCCTGAACTGAAATCAGGGAGGCATGTTGGATGGGACCTGACCTCACAGCACCCCGTCCTGTGATGACATAGTGGCTTCACAGGGGCAAACATGAGCCCTATGGAGCCAAGATGTTCTAGACATCAAGGACAGTGGTGGTGCTGGATGCGCACCCAAGTCAATGCACAGGCCCTGTGCGCTGCTGAGCCTGCCATTTCATGTGCTGGAGAGACTCATTCTGAGCTGCTGATAACAGATTGTTGGACAATGGTGCTTTTCTAGTGTCTCCCAAGCCAAAAGAACAAAGGCTGCCTTGGTATGCAACCAAAGAACATACGGGAACTGCAGACAGCAGATGGAGAAGAGCCTTCCACAGTCTGCAGTGCGCTTTCTTCTTGGGCACCAGTCAAGAATAGTGGAGTTTGAAGAGTGTCCTTATTCTGATTTGTGGAAAGCTTGAAGGGATGGCACATAACACGAGCAGTGGCAGCTTGACAGCACTGAAGACACAAAGCTGTCCTGTGCTCAGCTCAGGCCATTGGCCCACCCAGCCCACGGCCGTCTACACCAGGGATGTGGAACCTGTGACCCTCCAGAAGTTGCTGACCTCCAATTCTCATCAGCCCCAGCCAGCGTGACCAGCGGCTAGAGCAGATGGAGCTGTAGCCCAGCAACACCTGGAGGGCCAAAGCTTCCCCTTACCTGGTCTACACCAACTGGCAGCACCTTGTCATGGTCCAAGGCAGAAGACCTTCCAACCATCTGGCACCATTTAATATTTGGGGCTGGGAACTGAGCCAGAGGCCTCCCACATGCATAGCATGAGTTAGAGAAATCACGGAGCTATGGCTCCTCCAGATGGAAGTCCCATTGGCCCTACTAGGGAAGGAGTGGGGGGCCTGGAGCCCTCCAGATGTTGTGGGACTACACCTCCCATCAACCTTGGCTGGTTTGGGACATTGGGGGCACAGGTTCCCCTTCCCTGTTCTAAGAGCAAGGGTCATAGTTCAGTGGGGAAACTCGTGCTTTGCCTGCAGAAGTTCTCCAGGGAAGACTCCAGTCTGGAAACCTAGAGCGCCACCAGCAATCAGGATGCACAATCCTGAGCTAAACGGGCCAGTGGTCTGACTTGGTATAAGGAAGCTGCCTCTGCTTTGCCAGTGATGGAGCACATGCTCTCCCTTATGGAAGGTTCAGGCCTCTCCAGTCATGAAAGCAGAAAGCAGGGTTAGGAAGGACCATTCCGTGCCAGAGACCCTGGAGAGCTGCTGCCAGTCAGAGCAGGCAATGTGTCTTCCTTCAGAGTAAATATGCACTGGATCCAGGCTAATAGGATCAGTTTTGACTGAGACAAGGTGTCTCTTTGTGAGAAAGTGTTTGTACAGTAGATCACAGTGCATACCAGGCATAGGGAAGTTCTGGTCCACAGGCCAAAAAGGGCCTGAGGGGCCTTCTGGTCTGCCTCTGCCATTCTCCCCAGGCCACCTCCCTTCACTGGAGCCATTAGTACATCCAAAGAACTCCTAATGATGCCAGGCATTTATCCTGTGGTTCTTGTAGCACAAGCAGTTCTGGCCGCCACCGCCACAACAGCCTGGGACCTTTGACAACAACCTGAACTTCCTGTGCAGTTTCAGAAGTTTGGCTGCCCTCATCAGTCCCGAGGAGCTTCCAGGAGTGCTCTTGTAAGCGCTGGAGCCACTTTTCTCTTGACGTGGTCCAGGAACAATCTGGCTGGTGAAGCACCCAACACCATCCACAGCAACAGGTCTGCTAGGCACATTTCAAGGCTGGTGCGTCATTGTGTGTGTTTGTGTTTGTGTAGATGAAGTGGTTGCATGTGTCTAGGCTCGTAAGAGAACATAAATGGAGAACCTCAGGCTCGGGGGGGGGGCAAATGTGGCCCTTGAGGTCTCTCTGTCTGGCCCTTGGGACCCTTCCAAGGCCACACAACTCACTGGCTGGGCTGGGTCCCTGCTTTTTTGCCAAGCCTACATATGTCCTTGAACACTGATCATGCCTCTTCCTTGTCTGGATGAAGGATTGAGAGGGGGTACAGCTTGCTGTACAAAGGTAAAATTCACATTCCTGGCCCACCCACTTTTGCCTCTGGCCCCACCCACCACCGGCATGTGGCCTGCAGACAGTTGCTCAGAAGGGAAGGCAGCCCTTGAGCGGTAAATGGCTCCCCATTCCTGGCATGCAGAATTAGGGAGCCATAGCAGGCCATCCAATCTTTTGCGTACAAAATGGCAAGACAAAGAAATGCATAGAGAACTCTTGTCATTTATTCCACCAGTTTTCAACAGTACCATGGGAAGAGGGTGTCACGGCAGGTAGAGGCTCATACGGGAGCACTGCATGGTCACGGCACAACATACAGACTGACTGCCACATTCATGACACGGAGGAGAATGTCCCCCTTCTCCTCTTGTTGGAAGCAAGGACGGTGAGAGGTCCCACGACAACATAGCACTACACAAGGAGTTGAAACAAGTCACACTCACAGGGCAGCCATTTCCTTCAGTGGATTGAGCACCAACCAGTTTAGCTTCCATCCTTGTCACACTGTACGGCCCGGGTAAAGAACTGGGCTACACTGGGGCCTCAGTTTTCCCCACCTGTAAAATGGGGGCACAACTCTGCTTTCCTTTGTAAAGCATCTGTGGTGCCGTTAAGTGCAAAGTATTGTCATTGTTTGATCCGTATTGCTATGGTTTCGTGTCGGAGGAAGGGATGGGAAGGAGGGTCTACCCCTCCATGCCTTGTCCCTGGAAGACACAAAGGAGGCAAGGGCGTCATTTTGATTGGTGACAAGTTCTGTTCCTTGAAGCCGAAAGGAACGGAAACATCCACCTGCAGCCAAGCCCTTGCTTCACATCTCCTTCATTTGAACTTGAGCAAAGGCCAAAAAATGGTTCTTCTACGTAAGGTAGAGGGTTTTGTGGGGGCAGTTTGCCCACATTCAGGCCCGTAGTCCTGAAACGGCAAATGGCTCTCTTCCTGCTCTGCTGAAAGGGCTTGTGTCAGCCCTGGGAAAAGATGGGGGGGGAGAGGGGGGGCAGCACTTGGGCATCACCCTGCTGTGTGGGGAGGAGGATGAGGAGAGTCTTGTTCTAGAACCTGAGACTTCCAGACACACCTCACATTCACTTACAGGGGCGGGAAGGACTGAGACATCTTTCACAGGGAAGAGACGGTGGCTTAGAAAAAGGGTATCCAGCCCACACACACCTAGGTGGGGAAGACAAACTTGACAGGAGCCTGCTGGATATTTTAATAAACCACCCGCACCCTTGCACTCCCCTTTTGTGCCCACAGCCCACCCCACAATGGGACACACTTTACAACGTGGGAAGGGGAGGGGTTTATTCTGCTGATGAGCAACAGCTGGGTCACATGACGGCACACTTCTCGGCGGACTGCTTGAGGTCGTCCAGCGTGGCCTGGGCCTTGTCCTTCAGGGAATCCAGGTCCAGATTCTGGATGCTGGTCAGCTGTCCGATAACAGAGTCCTTTTCCTCCTCCTCTTCGTTGTCCTGCTCAATCATCTTGGCCAGCTCTTTGGGGAGCTCCACGTCACCCCCGACCTGCTGGATCTGGTTGTCATCTGTTTCATTCTAAAGGGGATGGTGGTGATTAGAGAAGAGAGGGAGAGATTAGGCTCAGGGGTCATAATAGTCCATAATGGTCTAGGGCGTGAGCCCAGCCATGTCGGAGGTCCAATGCAATGGCCACTCAATGCCAAGTTGCTGAGGGAAATAGCAACTGCATCTCCTGTTGCTATGGTGACAGTGGGACGAAACTGCAAAGCCAGCAGCGGGTAGCAATGGGGTTGTGAACATATCTCCTGGCTCACCTCCAGACAGGAAGACATGGGAGAGGCAGGACAAGAAGGTGGGCACTGCCAGGTTTGCTGGCAGGTATTTAAAGCCCAGCAAGCCTTGGTGCCCTCAAGAGGTTGAAGCACAGAGAGTGGGAAGGAAGAACAGGGCAGATTGACCCCATTCTCCCTGGGGGTTGGGGAAGCAACTGCTGCGTCCTGGAGCTGGCGGCCATGACAGGTGGCCTCAAGAGTGGTAAGATCTGAATGATGCTGGAGTTGGAGAAAAGATGTTTCCATTCAGTCCTGTTTTAATCTCTCATTCCTGACTGACTCCATCAGAACATAAATGGATGTGATGATCACACTCTGGAAGTTAAGAGCATGAAAAAGGGGCTTTGATGAACTGGAACAAGACGCTGATGTGTTGGAGGAGGCCTGGGACAGAGTGAAGTAGAGTGGCATTGGGCAATTGTGTTGGATGATTTATGGTTGGTGATGGGAATCAGCCATGGACCAAAACATAGGAGGGAGGCAGTGTGTGTGTGTGTGTGTGTGTGTGTGAGAGAGAGAGAGAGAGAGAGAGAGAGAGAGAGAGAGAGAGAGAGAGAGGAATGGCTGGCTGGTTGGTTGAACAGATGCCAGTGTGTTTGGTGGCTAGGTTGGAGTTAGATCAGTGAAACTCAAGTTCAATTCCCACTCAGCTATGAAGATGGCCTTGGGCCAATCACCATCTCTTGTTCTAGCCAACCACATAAGGCTGTTGTGGTGATGAAATGGAGAGGGGAGAAGATCTGTGCGTGGAGGAGAGTTGGGATAAAAAAATGTAACAAATAAATTCTCAACCACAAACTCATTGGGAAAACCAGAATCATTTGGTGTCCTCTCATCTGTAAAAAGAAAGAGAGAATTATAATGACAGTCAAGAGCATTTTAATATTGATATAAAAGATATTGAACAGTATGCTAGATTACTTCATTGGAGACCATATGGCTAACACAGAGAGCAATGAAGATAACTTAGAAAACTTAGCAATAGCACTTAAAAAGAAAGATGCAATTCTCAATTTTTGTGCAACCAATATCGCTATGCTGTAAAGCAAATAATTATTTTTTAAAAGCTAAAATTTCAGTGAACAACCAAACAGTTCTCTCTAGCTTTAACATTCACTCCTTCAGCACTGGCAAATGCCACTTGTCTGAGGGCCAGAATGCTCTCATTCTGCTCTGCTCCTCACATCACCAGTTGCTTGAGATGTCAATGCAGCAAACCAGAATGATTTGGCATGCTAGAAGTGGCCCTTTTCTTTGAAGGATCATTTCGACAAACAATTATGACATGCAAAACCAGAGCGAAATGAACATGGAGAAGGATGCAGGTTTTGGACAGATGGGGATGTCAGGTGCTAGTGGGGAGGGAGGACCCAAAATTCAGCGGTATAAGAGGGACATTGTGTTAAAATAAGATGCCTTTATTGCTGAGATCTTTGTGTGGCTTGAATTGGATGCCCCTGGACCACGACCACCTGAGAGCATCAGAGTTATCTTTGCCCATCTTTCACTGCCTGAAAGAGCAAAGATAACCAGGAGGCTAGAGGCTAGTAAGAGACCTGTGAAAAAGATAATCAGGTGAACAACACCTAGGCAGCCCATGACCATGTGAGACTTTTTCAGAGTGCTGGAGATGGGCATGTTCTAACCCTCTTGATAGAGCTCTGCTTTTGTCTGGTGTTTAGAAAAACAAGAATATTAGATTACAATCTCAACACTAGAGCAGCTCTTGTAACATTTATGGAAAGATTCCAGAATGAATATTTCCATGCTTTACTACAAAATCTGTATTATTATTATTATTATTATTATTATTATTATTCTATTTAAATATTTTTTTCAGCTCTCTTTCTATTCTGAAGTTGCTCAAGTATTTATAAATACACAACCATGCAAAACACACACACACACAGAGGCCCCAAGTGAACTTGTAGCTTTAAGCCTGATGGAAGCTAACTGGACTAAACCAGCTTAAACCGAAATGATCAGCTGTCTAGGCATTTTTACAAGCAAGACCTCTAGAATTGGGATGATGTCATTCCTCGATGTAAAGATCTGGAATTGAGCAGATCTGAGTCTGGAGAACACCTGGGTGGTCTACTCCTACCTAGGCCTCCATGATGGTAGATTGGCAGAATATATGCATATAGGTCATATGTATCATCACACTATTCGATTTCTAACACTCCAAAGATCAGAAATAAGCATAAAAAATAAGAAGAAAAAACATATATCTCATTTAAACTATGAATAAATGTTTTATAAAAAATGCAATTTAACTATAATAATAATAATGGAGCCTTCCAATATTCTCTATCTGGCTCTGGAGATTTCCCTACCCCCCCCACCAAACCCCCCTCTCAGCAACTCGCTGTACTGGTTCTGCTTTGCTCTCTCCTTCATTGCTGTATTGCCTAACTGGAATGCGTCTTTGAACTCTGATGATGCCTTTTGATTCCCTGGATGAGTGGATGAAGGACCCATCTGTACAGGGATGTATGAGTGTGTGCAAAAACTAATACAGTGGCAAAATTCACATTCATTGTTCCACCTACTTTTGCCTCTGGCCCCGCCCACCACTGGAATGTGGCCCCCAGAAAATTGCCCAGAAAGGGATGCAGCCCCCAGGCTGAACAAAGCCCTCCACCCCCATCCTGGCCTTAGGGTACAATCCAACAGGTGCTTATCATGACAAAGTCCCACTGAAGGCAATGGGATGGAATTCAGTTGTACCTATTTTAAGTCCCGCTGATTTCAATAGAACTTAACTGATACAAAATTTTGTTGGATTAACCTGATTATGTCTGGTCTTACAGCCAACTAAGCCAGTAAACCAGCTGTTTCGATGGCAGGTAATGATACATTTAAAGTCCAGCGTCACTGAGCTATTTCATGGCACAGAAATGAAAGCATACAAATGGCGAGGAATTGAACACCTTTTTTTTTTTAAAAAAGTTGTTTTCTCCATAAGAATATCTTATTATGTATTACAACAGTCTGCAGTCTGAACTTCCTACAACTTGATTATCATCTATATTTCATGTATTACATTTCTATCCTGGCACACTTCTGCCAGGGAACTCAAGACTTGGAGTGCCCAAGAGGCCTCCCATCCGGATGCTGACCAGATCCAGTCCAGCTTAGATTTAGCAAGTTTGTTGTATCAGGTACCTTTAGACCATGCCCAAATCGTTCCCAGATTCCCAACACCTTCTTGCTCAACACATAGCTTCTGGAGAAGTCTAAATGAGTTTATACACCTCTACATCCCCAAATCAGCTTCAGACCACCTCAAATCCTATTTAAGTTTATTTCCATGCTCAGCCAAGTGCTTAAAGCCCTAAATGACCCAGGCTGCCTCCTTCTCAACAGAGTTTCTTGAGTGTCAAGACTGGCGGAGGTGGCCTTTTTGGTAATTCCACTGCCCTCAGGTCACTGTCTGGGACAGGTGTGTTTTCAGGATCTATCCTATTCCTGTGACTGTAATTTGTTTTTAATTCTGAATTTTAAATTGCAACAACAACAACAACAGTTTATTACTTATACCCCACCCATCTGGCCGGGCCTCCTCAGCCACTCTGAGCGGCTTCCAACAGGATATTAAAAACACAATAAAAGATCAAACATTTAAAACTTCCCTAAATAGGGCTGCCTTCAGATGTCTTCTAAAAATCAGATAGTTGTTGTCAAGGAAATAGACATCTGGTGGCAGGGTGTTCCACAGAGCGGGCACCACCACTGAAAAGGCCCTCTGCCTGGTTCCCTGTAACCTTACTTCTCACAGTGAGGGAACCGCCAGAAGGCCCTCGGAGCTGGACCTCAGTGTTCGGGCTGAACAATGGGGGTGGAGACACACCTTCAGGTCTACTGGGCCAAGGCCGTAACCCACCCTGGGACCGGAAGGGCTGCTACTAATCTGAAGTGTTGGTCCAGAGAAGTTTTATCTGAAATGCATTGCACAGGAAATAAGCTTTGGGCTGGAGACAAAGTTATGGAAGGTCTGCCTTAGTCATGCTCATTCATTTCAATAGTTCTACTCTGTGTAAAACTTAGTTGACTATCACCCACAATTTGGAGTGGCCCAGACCTTGACCCTAGATCCAGAGATGTGTCAACTTCAGTTTCATATTCAGATGGCTCATGTAGTTCTGTGCCAAAGAAGAAACATGGGACAGCTGCCCTTAAACCAGGCCAGGTGACTTGCCCATCTTACCTAGATCCATCTAACAGCAGCTCTAAAAAGTCTTAGGCTTAGAAGGGGCTTTTCCGTCACTTGAACCTTGATCTTTTTAATGGAAGATGTCAGGGATGGAGCCTGGACTCACCTGCTGATCTACTCTGCGTCCTCAACAAGGAACTGCTGACTGGTTCCAGCCTCATTTTGGAGTGAACTTAAAAAGAGGGCCACGTTCTCCCATTAGCCATTTCCACGCGCAGGATGTCTCTGGCATTTTATCAGCACCAGCCACTCTGTGCATGGTGGCTCGTGACTCGTAAGGTCAACATATTGACTTCCACCCTTCTCTTCAGTCCTAATGCTCTGCCTCCATCAACAGTATGGGCGGGGAAGAGCCCCTCCAGATGTTGTTGGACTGTCCTGGATAGTAGAGCCAATGGTCATTGATAATGGGAGCTGTAGCAACATCTGGAGAGCCACAACTTCCCCACCCCTGCCTTACAGGAAAGAACAAAGAAGCTGTGACCCTCAAGATATTGCTGGGCTCCAGTCCCCATCACCCTTGCCCATTGGTCAAGCAGGCTGGAGGCAATGGAAGTTGAAGTTTCAGCACCATCTGGGCGGTCATGGTTTCCCCACCCTGGCATCAAAGGTTCTGGTTATTTCTTCCTCCACCTCCTCTGGTATCTGGCTGTTGCTCAACCCTAATACAACCAGCAATATCCCTGTGGAAATCTGCCCAGGTTCCCTTCATCCTCCTCCTGCAGCAAACGCCTGATGGCTTACCTTAGGAAGCCTGTATTTATCCCGAAAGTGGGTCCGCAGGGTGGCTCGTTCTGCTTTGCGCTGTGCAAACTGGGCATCCCGCTCCATTCTGCAAACAACATTGGGAGAAGATGTTGTCGATTAGCTGCAATGTGTGTGCCCCACTTGGCATGGCGAGCAAATGTCTTGGTCACTAGGGCAGAGGAAGCCTGAGAAATTTCCCGGTACAGGCCATTAATCTCTGCTCCAAACCTAAGCATTCCACACAGCTGATATGATGCTAGTCAGAGTGCATCCACAAGATCACACACTGTTTAATCTTGCCTAATTAACTTGGAATAATTGCCAGTGCCCTTTCTCCACTCATACTCAGTAATGCTGCAGATAACATGCACATCACACACACAAAGAGAGAGAGAGATTTATTTATTTTTACACAGCCTTGCATGTAAAACAACTCATTCTATTATTTTATGTATTCATCCCCAACAGAAAGGGCCATAGCTCAGTGGCAGATCACCTGCCTTGCATGCAAAAGATCCCAGGTTTGGGTCTTTGTGGCACCTCCAGTTAGGACAGGGAGACTCGCTGCCTGGAACCCTGGTAAGCCACTACCGGTCATTGTGGGCAGTATTAAGCCAGATGGACCAGGGGTCTAATTCACTGTAAGACTTCTTCTCATGTTCCTGTGTACGTCGTAGTTGTTAAGCGCCATCCACACAACACTAAATCTCAGCCTCAACATTATACAATCCAGAGCACTGACCACCTCAGGGTTTTACACTTACAATGGCTAATGCACACTGGGATGCCCATACTGGGACATGCTGGAGGTGTGGGGGAGAAAAATCCCCATTTTTATCATTTTTAAAAAACCACGATGGAGAATAGCAAGCTATGTGGTATGGAATTAATTCAGATTGGAAGAAATTAATATTAATAAATCCTGGGATATGGTCTCAGGGTGCTCATTTAACCAAATGACTGGAGTGTAGGATAGCTGTGAGAGTTCTTTCACCCCAGGTATTCCCATCCCCGAATAAATCAAAGCCAGCCCATAATATCTAAGAACATAAGAGCCCTGAGGCTGGATAAGACCGAATGCCCATGATGTCAAAAATTCTGCTTCCACAGTGGCCAACCAGATGCCTATGGGAAGCCCACAAGCAAGACATTGGCACAAATAATATGGCCATAATGACTTATAGCCATAAACAGCCATACACCTCCTCCTTATCTCCCTTCTATGACCACAGTAACATGGACAGGAGGGTTGTGTAGTTGGATAAGGATGGAGAAGCTTAACATTGGCCACAAGTAGACTCTTGTTTGCTAACTTCTAAGGCAGGCTTCCCCATTTGGCCAGTGAGGCCATTTCCATCAAGCCATGCCCACCTGCCCTACACCTGATGTCATATATGATGGCAGGTGTGGGGCAGATGAGGGTGGGGCCTGGACAAAACCCCCTTGTGCAACCCTTCCTGAGTGCCTGACAACCAGCTGGTGCCCAGGTGTGCAAAGGTGTCTTGCAGGTCTTGTGCGTGACTCACAGCAGCACAGTTCTCGGGAGAGTTTTACTTCCACTAAAACCAATGGGACGACTGAATACATTTCCTCTCACCAGGTGCTTTGGCTAAGTTCATTTGCAGCTCTAGAAATATCTAGTACTTCTGGCTGATTTTGGTACAGCTTCTGGGAGTCAGTGGAGACAGTATTGGTCTTCACGATGGGGAGATCAAATGATACTGAGCGAAACAGAAGCTGACTCTGTTGTATTGGGCTGGGGAACTTGCGCCCCCCCCCCCCGATGTTGCCGGGTTATCACTTTCATCATCCTCAAACCATGGTCCATACTGTCTGGGGTTGATGGGAGTTGGAGTCCAGCAACATCTGCTGGGCCACAGGTTCTAAGCCTGAAGTTAAATGGACTATATGAACAAAGCATGGAGGAAAAGAAGAATTATTATTGCTCTTTTTGACACCTCATTTGTTCCTCAGCTAAAAACGACCATTTCCAACCAGTTTCATCATTTTTGTGATTGTGAGCTCACTTTGCATATGAGTAGGGTATATATATATATATATATATATATATATATATATATATATATTTCTATGGAAACATTATGATCAGAATTGAATATCTCCAATGTCTTTCAGCAACCAGATCTCTGAGCCAGCCCGGCCAATTAAAAAAAACAAACTAGGAATTTGCTCATGAATGACTTTTCTAACTTTTTATGGTTTTATGTTCTAATGGTTGTAAACTCCTCTGATATATATATTTATGATACAGTGGTATGCAGTTTTAAAAAATAAGTAAATAAACAATTCAAGAGTAACTTTCCTGGATCACTAATGACATAATGCTTCTATCAATGTGTCCCTAATATGCCTTGCAATGGTAGGTCTTCAGTATGATTTAGGTGTTTTATGCAATCCAGGAGTAGATCTAAGTTCCCCAGAAGACCTGTGCTTGACAGTTCTGTGGGGCTTCCACCCAGACAAGTGTGTGCAGGATTGCCACCTAAGTGATGGTGCTGATGTGATCTGTTCTCCAGAACATAAATTGCAGCAGAGAATGTTTCTTTTTCTTTTCTTTTTTTTTAAAAGTAGGCTGCTTTGTCCTCTTTGCAAAGAGGATTGTAGTGAGGTAGACAAGGGCACAGCGGGGTAATTAATGGTTTTTGTTTTTGTTTTGCTCTGGCAAGTGAATGAGGTGATACTGAGGCTTTCAAATTTGTTTGTGGAAGATTAGCAAGGCAGAAGGAAGAGAATGAAGAAAGTAATTGAGGAGTCTGGATACTTCTTTCCTTTTCCTCCTTGGAGTTCCTACTAGACACAAGCAATTTAAATGGCAATACTTCTTTGCAAGATTTCTTTTTCATTTATAATTAAATGCTAAAGGTTATGTTTGAACTGGCTGGAAATATTTTATTAAAGCTCATTGTGTTTACCAGTCGAATTTATCCTGTGACTGCTGGCAGACTATAACAAACTGGGTATAGTGCTATTTATGCACCGCTGCTCTTTGGAAGGTGTAAGGACATATGTGCATATATGAATCAATACAGCTGCCTGTGCATTTGGGGAAAAAATCCTCAGGGGTGGAGTGACTACAGGGGCTGCCACAATCAGTTCTTGCACTTCAGAATTTTCTGGAATGCCACTTGATGCATTAAATGGACAGCAGGGAAAACTGCACAGCACAAGGCTTGGAAGCAAATTGCGGGTGGGAGGGACAGGTGAAACACAGTGAAATTATGCATGCAAACTACTACAGGAAGCAAACGGTTGCTGCGGGAGCAAAACGGCATTTAAAAATTGTGTGTAAATGCAGCCTTAGACACTTCCCCCCTTTTCAAAATCAGAAATGGTGAATAATCTAAACTCCAACTTCCGGGGGAGGCAGGGAGCTATAGTGAGATGTAGTTTTTCCTGAGAAAACAATCCCATCTCTTGAAGGCAAAAGCGGATTAAAAGATTAGGGGTTCATTAAAATGCATTACTAACATTCCCCGCCTTCCACAACAAATGTAAAGTCCTGGGTTCACTTCCTCTTTCCCTTCACCACTTATTTGGGAGGAACTAAGGCAGAGGATCTCTTTAACCCAGTTTGGGCTTAAATGGAAAGATCAGCTTCCACAGGGCGCCTTCTGTAGCCCAGATTCATATGTCGACATCTAAAAACGGGAGGATTTGGGTCTGAACTTTGCATAAAAACTGCTTAGAGCAAGGGATTTATTTTTGCACAGACACTGCTTAGCGCTATTTTAAATTTATTTTTAAAATTGCCCTATTTTTATTGTAGGCGTGGACTTTTTAACATCCTGCTAGAATCAATCCAGTGGAGCCAGCATGAGGTTTTCAAATGTCCTCTTTTGTACACCACTGTTTGATGCTCAAGGTACAATCCCAGGACAATACAAAAGCAGTTTCTTGGGAAATAAATTTTACTGTGTGTATAGTATTGGATGTTGGTGGAGGAATCTTTATCATCTCTCTGTGTGAACTTGCATGATCTTCCTAGATTCCCTTTAGCCTATTTCTCTCCTTCCTTAAAGATATAAACTGGTGCGATCAGTAAATAAGCTTAGACTTAGATCCACACTTGTATTGCTCTTCAGATGTTGATTCACCGAACTTGCTCACAGCAGCCCAGAAGTCTCCTGATTCTGAGACCCTGATTCTAGACCTGGGAATAATAGTCATTTACCTCAACAGGATTGGTGGTGGGATGAGTCTGAGATGAGGCAAAGCTCAGAATCCCCTTCATCTCAGACTTGCTTGCCTTGAGTCTTCTGGCCAGGCTCTACATTGAAATGCATAATATGTCATGAGCTGCAATCAAATCACTCACATTTCCCTGGTCTGATCTTGATTTTGCTCAGGAATTTCCTGAGCAGGGTTATCAAGCAGTTTCTTTCTCCATCGCCTCTCCTGCTACGGTAATCTACCATGCAAATTAAGACCATAAAAGACACGTATGGCTAAGGTTTCTAAAAGTTACATACAGAAAGAGTCATGTGATATTCTCCAAAGGGATAGCCATGGCTTTCATGAAGTGGACTCTTCTCCATGAACGCTTGTGCCAAGGCTCTTGGTTGCAGTGTGACTGGACAGACACAAAAAGGAGCCCTTCATCACCCGATACTTACTTTTCCTCCACTAGCTGCTTCTGGTACTCTTCGTATTCTTCCTTTGTCATCCCCTGGGCTTCAGCCGGGGACTTCTCCCCTTCTCCTTTCTCTTCTCCTCCCAGTCCGCCGGTGAGGTTCTTCAGTTGCCCACCAACCATGGACTTCACCATGAAAGCCATGACTAGCTGTGTTGAGGAGGGGAGGAAGTTGCTGGAGGAAGAGTTAGGATCAAGGAAAGAAGAAAAGATGGGGACTTGAGCTTGGCCGGCTTGTCAAAGCCCAGCGACCAGGTTTGATCTAAATCAGCATCGTCTCCTGTTGGGGATCCCGTTGCTCATTGGGAGATCTGGCTCTGCTGCAGAAGGAATGGTCCGGGATTCCGCTGGCCTTCAGCACCGGCGGGAGGCGGACAGTTCCGAAAGCTCCCAGCAGTGCCGAATGAATCCGCTCCCTTCCTTCGGACCACCGCGCGGCTTTGCGTTCAGCACCACGGAGCGCGGACAGCGACTGCTGCTTCGGAGCGTCTGCGCGCGTCTGTGGCTGACGGAGCCGGCCGCGAGGAGGGGGCGCCCCCTTGCGGTGGGCAGTCGCTCACTTTCCAGGGACCCTCACGCTCATCTGACCTCGCCTCCGACGGTGTGGCAGTTTGGCTCTGCTCGCCCACTCCCCCCCCCTCGCTCGCGCTCCAGCACCGCCTTCTTTGCCTTCGTAAAAAAAGATTAACGCTGTTGACTGGTGTGACGAACCTCGCGCATCTTCCAGAGTGGGTAGCTCTGTGTTAGTCTGTTGCAAGAAAACCACAAAGTATCTCGTGGAAAAGACAGGTTTGTTGTGTAAATAACTTGCACGGAGTACAACCCGCTTCCTTAGTTGCAAGAAGGGTTTATGCTCAGTTGATAGATAAGCTACACAGAGAGAAAGTGATGAGCTTAAAGGGGGAAATGGGAAAGAGGGGAACCAAAGGCAAGAGGTCACCTGCGACAAACCTGTAGTGTAGCTTAAAGGTAAGGGTAAAGGGACCCCCTGACCGTTAGGTCCAGTCGTGGCCGACTCTGGGGTTGCGGTGCTCATCTCGCTTTATTGGCCGAGGGAGCCGGCGTACAGCTTCCGGGTCATGTGGCCAGCATGACTAAGCCGCTTCTGGCGAACCAGAGCAGCACACGGAAATGTCATTTACCTTCCCGCCGGAGCAGTACCTATTTATCTAATTGCGCTTTGACGTGCTTTCGAACTGCTAGGTTGGCAGGAGCTGGGACCGAGCAATGGGAGCTCATTCGAACCGCCGACCTTCTGATCAGCAAGTCCTAGGCTCAGTGGTTTAACCCACAGCGCCACACGCGTCCCTGTAGTAAACCTGTAGTGTAGCTTAAATGCATGCAAAAGTAGCACAGAGTGTGTGTGCAGGTGTGTATGTAATACAAACATGCATTTAAGCTGTACATAGAAGTGTCATAAGCTGTACATATTGTGAGATACCTCAGTTTCCCAGCAGTGAGAGACTCCGGGGGCTTCAAGTGCTTTGTTTCCTTGGAATGAAGGTCAGTAGAGACTGTGGAGTCTTTAGAATACAGTGGTACCTCAGGTTAAGTACTTAATTCGTTCTGAAGGTCCGTTCTGTTAAGTTGTGGGTGAACATATTAGACGACACAGCGATTCTTCAAACAGCTCTTGTTTATTCACAGGCCAGAACAGAACTGAACTGAAGGGTTCAGTCAGCCTGCTTATATAGAGCTCCAGTACAACGTAACAACTTTCTGTAACTATCCAATCACTGAATGTCACTTTTGATCCCTTATTTGCATATGTGGACCTGAGTGAAAACTATCTACAGTATCCCCCTGCTGGCCCAGGGTGAGAACTTCAGTACATAACATGTTCTTAACCTGAAACTGTTCTTAACCTGAGGTACCACTTTAGCTAATGGGGCCTCCCGCTGCTGCTGCGCTGCCACCGCGTGATTTCTGTTCTCATCCTGAAGCAAAGTTCTTAACCCGAGGTAACCTGAAGCATATGTAACCTGAGGTACCACTGTATATGGATACACATGTACACACAGAGGGAGCAGAGGCTTAAGGTGCTCACAGTGTTAACACCCCGACACAGTTTACTTCCCCATTCTGTTTTGGGGGGTGGGGTGGCAAGCAGAGAGCAATCAATGTTTCTCTCCCTCCAGCACTGAGCTTCCAGCTCACTCTTCACTCAACTCAGCCCATTGTTCTTCTACCTACCAGGTGAGAGGGGTGGGCCCACCACTTTTTTCCTTTGGCAACCTCTTTGGACTTCTAAATCACAGTACTTAAGTAGCCAGCAAATAGTCATTCCATTAACAAATGAACTGGATCAGGCATGCCCAAAGTCCGTTTCAGGGGCCTAATCCAGCCCACCGGTCGGTTTAATCCAGCCCCTGTGGCAGTTTATTTCCTGTGGTAAAATCCTAAGCAACTTCAACCCTAAAAAAAGCTCAACAACTACTTTGGTCGCCCCTTTGGTTGGCCCTCACAGCTCTTCACTTCATCAAATCTGGCCCTCTTTGAAAAAAGTTTGGACACCACTGTCCTAGTTCCTATAGCTGCACTTTTGGAAAGTGCAGAAGGTGTCATCCAGACTGATCCCTCCCCACATAAACTCATAACACTATTGCAGTGGTTTTCAACCAGTGTGCCCTGGGGTGCCTTGAATGGTGGTCAGGGGTACCGCAGGCCTCTGTCCCTCCTTGCCTCCTTCCTCAGATGCCATCCTGCGTCTCTGCCTCTCAAAGGCTTGTGCGTCTGTTTGTTGCAGCAGCCCTGGCTACAAGCTCCCTGGGCAAATGGTGCCTCTGGGGCTGGCCAGGGGGTGCTGGGTGCCAGGAGCTGAGGAAGCAAGTGGGTGTGGGAACCCAGGCAGCTAGTTCGCCAGTTGGGGGTGGATAGACAACTGGGAGGCCAGGCAGGTAAGTGCCGAAGCTACGGGGGGGCGGGGCTAGCTTGCTTTTTTGCCCTGGATGAAGCCTCCAGAGGTGTGCCATTGAGGCTTCCAGCCTGTGTGTGTGTGTGCGCGCGCTCACTCGCATGCACGCACAAATGCATGTGGGTGGGTGTGCCAAACTGGGTCTTGGACTCAAGTGAAATAAAGCCTAGTTTTGCCCCGGGGGGATGGGAGGTACATCTCACAATGAATGGCCAGGGGCCTAACCCCACTCCCAGCACCACCTTGTTCTGCCTAATGGTAGGTCTGGTTTTGCTTTTGAACCTGCCAGGTGATGGTGTTCCACATGCAGGATGTCATCACCGAATAGAGGTGGCGCACCCAGAGAAGATCAGTGTGCCCTCAGTTCTGCTGCTAGGATCACAACAAAGATCTCTTTGGCACCTTGAAATAACTGTAGCTCAGTGGGAAAGCATTACCAGCGGTTCTCAACCTGTGGGTCCCCAGATGTTGTTGGACTACAACTCCCATCATCCCTGAGCTCTGGCCTTGCTAGCTAGGGATGCTGGGAGTTGTAGTCCAACAACATCTGGGGACCCACAGGTTGAGAACCGCTGCTAGCCTCTCAAGTTCCATTTCTGACATCTCCAGGTGGAACTGGGAAAGCACTCCCCATCTGAAACTCTGGAGAGCTGCTGCCAGTTAGAGCAGGCTATGCTAAACTAGATGGGCCTACACCCTGACCTGGTATAAGGCAGCTGCTCTTCATGTCACAGAACTGAAAGGAGGCTCACAGCCAGAGATGATAGATGATAGATAGATGATAGATGATAGATAGATAGATGATAGATAGATGATAGATGATAGATAGATAGATAGATAGATATAGATAGATAGATATAGATAGATGATAGATAGATGATAGATAGATAGATGATAGATAGATACCTCTGGATATGAACGGGATCCGTTCCAGAGCCCCATTCGCATCAGAAGCAAACGTAACTAGCAACAGCATGTCTGCGCACGCTTTTCGCCACTTCTGCACATGTGCGTGATGTCATTTTGAGCGTCTGCACATGCACAAGCAGTGAAACCCGGAAGTAACGCGCTCCATTACTTCCAGGTTGCTGCGGAGTGCAACTCGAACGCGCTCAGCCCGAAGCGCATTCAACCCGAGGTATGACTGTAGATAGCTATCCTGCTTTTCCACCATGTTTGGGTCCTAAGCATGGTTTCCAGCGATGGAAATCAAATGCAACTGATACTGTAAGCAGCCTATTTGGGATCTTGGCGGTTGATGACATTGTCAAGGGTCCCAGCTCTCAACTCCATGAAGGAGGGGGACAATGGGAGCCACATAAGGACTCACAGGGGGTGGTGGGTGGTCGCTGCTGAAAGGATGCCCACTGACAGAAGCAACCCACCCACTGATTTGCAAAAGAGTTCCTTCTGACCCTGGAGAGTTGGTGACATCATCCGGAGCCGAGCCGTGCTGTTGCTGTTTTATTTATAGATGTTGTTATTATTTGCAAAATCCATGTAACACTTTAAAAATATTTCTATATCTCCAGCATCACCAGGATGCTTCCTGTCACTGGCTGGGATGGCTGCTGCCTGGGCAAGCAAGGCGTCCTCTTCACTTGTTCTGAGGCCTCCACCAGGAACCTTGCTCAAAGCGAGAGGGAGATGGAGGCCCATGAAAATCCCATGTGATGGGCACAAGCTCAGCGGAGGACAGCCTTGGCTCTCTCCTTCTATTTTCATCTGTGGATAGAAGCTGAAACCTAAGGGGAGGGGGAGGACGCCTAGCAGAACTCCAGACTACCCTTTGAAAACTAGATTCGTCTCAAGGAGACAGGCTGATCTTCTCCCCCACACCCCCCTTCCAACGGAGGCAGGGCAGCCTTCAGATTGAATCAGGGCTCCTTAGGAGAATGCGCTCTCTCCGATGAGACTTGCGCCGTTAAGTCACACAGAAGGCAGCAGAGCAGTTCAGTCGCCTCCAACAAGAGCCTCTGCAGGCATATGGGCATGTGGGAGAGAGGTGTCCCCCCCAAGTTTAACTGGGATCTGCAGTGGTGTTTTTTGAGGGGCAGAGAGAAATGCAAAAAGGAAGGAGCCAGGGCCCTTCTACAGGTCAGGGGTGGGTAGCTCAGTACATTTTTGTACCACATGCATTTTGCACACAGTTATTTGTAAATTCATTCTGCCCTGTTTCCACATTAACAGGTGATTTCTCTCTAAAAACAGCAACAAAAACTCTGTACAA